GACCCAACAGAAATCGCAAAGGCATCTCAGCGGCAGCTCAAACGAACCACGAAGGAATCTAAGGAAGTTGGAAAACGCGGGCTCGCGTGGACATAAGCACTCCCTATTGCGACCGCACTAGGGAAATTGCTTATTTCAGGGGATGCCATGGGAGAGTCCACGGAAGGATATCGCAAACGGATTCGGCGGACCCCCCCGCGATATGTTAGCACATTTATTGAAAATAAAAAATAACCACCGGCCCTGGATGTCGATGTGATGCTCCCTTAAACAATGGGGCATCAAAGGGATATGACCGGAACCTCAAGGGGGCCCCAGAATAACATCAAAGGAACACCAGAGGAGTCTCAAAGGAGTCCCAAAAGAATCACAATGGAAACGGCAAGGAATCTCAAAAGAAGCCAATCGGAGTATCAAAGGAATCTCTGAGGAATCTCACAGAAACGCACAGAATCACAGAAAGCGATTCTGGGCAGGTGTGCCTTGTCGCTGGGCTCTGGACTACAAGGGGACCGGGCATTCAGAAGCTTGTGAAGGCCTTTCTGGATGCCTCCCGGGAACCTCCGGGGACCTCCCCTCCGCGGACCTCTGGTGACCTGCGGGGGAATATCGCCTCCGCCCCAGCCCCGGTGCCAGAAGCGTTGCAATTTCCTCTGATGAGGGGGGGGGAGGGGAGGTTACTGATTGCTTCCCGGGTTACCCCAGTGGCTCCAGGTCAAGCGCGGCCACGTCGATGGCATCCGCCGCCGTGCCTGCACGAAGTGGGCGCGTTAGGATGCTCGCTTCTAGTCTTGGAGGCTCTTTGAATGTTTGCCCCCCCCCCCCTCGACGCGCGCACCCCCCCCCCAAAAAAAAAACGCCTTCTGACATCATTTCCCAGCAGCGCGTTCGGCTTCCGGGCGGCAAAGATGGCCTCCGCGACAGCTACCAAGACAGCCAAGACGACGACGAAACGGCTCGAGATGGCCCAAGATAGCTCGAGAGTCTTTCGAGACAGCCCCACGACAGCCCAGGAGGCCCCCAAGAGGGTTCAAGACGGCCCAAGGGGCCCCCAAGACGACCCAAGAAAGCTCCAGTGGAGGGGTTCCTGGCGAGCCCGAGGGGGCCAAAACCACTGACCGCCCCTGGACGTTTGTCGGATTTCGAAGCCTTCGCCCGCCCGGGTCCCCGACTGGCCAAGACGGCCCAAGAGCCCTCCAGGAGGACTCCAAGACAGCTCCAAGACAACCCAAGAGGCCCCTAAACGGGCCCCAAGTCGGGCCACGAGGACACGAAGGTTGCCCAAGGACTCACGGGAGGGCCCCATGACGGCCTTGAAGCGCCACTAAAGAGCAACGAGACTGCCCGAAGAGGCCTCCTGGGCTGTCTTGGGCCTTCGTAAACCCAAAAATGCCAGAGCCGCAAGATCCTTCATATACCCATGAAGATCGATGGTTTTGGTCCCATGTCGACGGCCTCAAGACATATCCAGAAGCCCCCGAAACGGCTCAAGAGGGCTCCAAAAGGCCCAGCCGCCCTCGGGGCTGGGTAAGTGCACCTCCCATGGCACTGCTCTTCCACGCGTAGGAGGATCAACTGGCTCGGCTGCGGGAGGCCCTCAGGGGGAAGGCGCGCGGGAACAAGTCAATCGGCCCTGCGCGCCGTCGCCCCACCCCATGTTGAGGGTGATTTGCCGCGAGCTCAAGGCCGAGGAGCTCGGTTGAGGCTAGGCAGCGCTGCACGGTTGAGCGCTTGAAAGAGTCGCTTCTGGCCGCAGCCAGGATGCGCGCCAGCCCTGCGCACCCCGTTGCAAGAGGCTCGCATGCGCTTGAGGCCATGCCTCCAGCGCGCGCTGCGATGCGTGACCTTGCATGGACCATAGCATCGAGGCACGGTCCACTAGGGCTAGGCCGCTGCGCTTCGGCTGGACGAGTGCGCCCTGATCAAGCCCGGGGCCGAGATGCCTGCCGCCCTGGTGCGATGGGAATCCCTGCGTGGACATCTCGGCGCGTCCATCAGCTCCGCGCATTGCGCTGGGGAGCGAAGGAAGCGGTCTGACATCGAGCCAGGCGGGCTGGGCACCAGCACCTTGTAGTGGAAGATGGACGGGCGGGCGGTCGACATGGCATCGAGTGCATCTGCGCGCCCCTGCCAAGAAGAAGGCGCTGCAACGGCCGCGAGGCCAGTAGACGCTTCCACCTCTCTGCCTCCAGTGGGCGCCAGGGTTCGGTCTTGTGCTGACGCACTGCATCCTGACACAGGCGCTCATTTCGTAGGAGTTGACGGTGGCACACATGTCACAGGCCCAGCTCGGACCTGGAACCTTAGGGTTGCTGTTGTTGCTCGCGGTTTCGCCCATGTGCTCATCGAGCGATCCTGGCGTCTCCGAAGCCACGCTTGCGCTGCCATCGCCCTCGGGGGCAGGCTCGACGGGGAGCGCCTGGTGGCCCAAGGGGGCATGGTCCCCGCTGGCCCCATCCCTTCTCACCATGCTCATCAGCACTGCCAGAGCGCCTGCTGGCCCTGGCGATGTTTCGCAAGGCTTCGTGGTCAGGCTCTGCCGAAGGATCTCCTACGCCGTCTGCCAGGTTTTGCAGGGCGCGTGAGCAAGCCCGCACGGCGCCCTCGCGCTAATAACTGGTCATGGTGGGGACGCGTAGAGCGTCGCATCCCTCCGAGATGACTTCCAGGAGGCGCTCCGAAGGGCCACTGGACCTGTCACCCAGCGCGCCGAGAGCTGAGTCGGCACGCACGCTCGGGCGATGGGCCCGGCCTTCGAAACAGTCGCGTCTCTGGACTGGGGGGGGGAGGCAGGGGGGCCAGCGTCCATGGCCACTGCGGCGGCATCGACAGCTGGTCCCGCGGGGCCCTCGGAGGCATTAAGCTGCGACGCGGGGGGAGGGCAGACCGCCGACTTCCCCCCCCCCCGCGGATGAAAAGGAGCGGTGAGAGTGATCGGAGTCCAGGGCTCGACCGAGCTCCGATCGGACGGCCGATCGGTCGTAATCGGCGATTGCGGTTCGATCTCCGACCGATTTCGGCATGGGCCTCCACGATGAGACCCGCTGCCTCTGCTCCCGTTGGCGAGGAGGCATTCGGGGATGCTCTGGGCCTCTTCAATCGCGCCCCGACCTGCCCCCGCGGGGAAGACTGGGCCGGCCTCTGCTGCGTCTCCAGGGGCATCATTGTGTCGGCCTTCCTCGCTGCGGAAAACTCTTCCGCTGTCAGAACCAGGGCGGCGAAAAGCCACCTCATCGCGGGAAGAAGGTGATACTGCATCCACGCAACCAGGGCGGCGAAAAGCTGGGTCAGCGCGAGAGGAAGCAATGGGAGAAGCAACACCAAGGCGGCAAAAAGCCGGCACGTCACGGGGAGAGAGTGGCACTGCGTTCACACAACCAGGGCGGCACAAAGCCGCGCCAGCGCGAGAATAAGCACCAGACGCAGCAACGATACCATGGCGATAAAAAGCCGTAGTATTATGGGGGGCGGCACTCGTGTCAGCGGCACCAGGGAGGCAAGCAACCCTGGGGACACTGGAGCCACGGTCGCTAGCAGCGTTACCAGGGCGGCAAAAAGCCGGAGCAGCGGGGGAGCAGGGGCCAACTGTGAGGTCGTCAACAGCGCTGAGTCCACCCAAGTCGGGAGCTTGGTTTCCCGAATTCCGCGGGGGACACCATGGTGGCTGTCCTCCTGCGATCGCGCCTCGGGCGAGGAGGGGGGACGTGAATGTGGAACTGAAACGAACTCGGACCCAAGGACGCAAGGGGCGGCAGCACCCCCATTGCTGGCCGCGCGGCTGTGTGTGGGCGAAACCCCTCGGCTGGAGACGACGAAACCTCCACCGTCCGGGAGCGCCACCTCCTCCCCCTCCTCGTCCTCCACTCCTCCACCCCCAGGGCGCTGGACGGCACGGGATCGGCGGCTGGGGGGCATCCCCGACCAGGAGCCATCCGTGCTCCGAGCTGGGGGCATCGGGGCCCTGGGGGAGGGCGGGGATCGATGGGCGCGTCCGTCATGGCCGCCGGGCCGAGGACGGAGCGCCGAGCGCGGGGACCGAGGGGGCGCGAGTCGGGCCGGCGGCCCTGGCAGTGCGTCGGGCGCCCCATCGAGAGCGTGAGCGGCCCGCAGACGGCTTGGGCAGGGCTGCCAAGGGGGTGGAGGAAGACAAGACTACATAAGCCTAAAATTGCTGAGGTCCGCGCCGGTTCCTTGGATCGGCGCTGGGACCCCTCCCTGGCTGGCGCGCGGAACGCGCCAGAAGCGGTGCCGGAGACGCCGCCAAGCAGCTCTGGTGTGTGCCTTTACACCGGTTCCTCGTCGCGCTACTGTCTTGTCCGATCCGATTTTCCGACTCGACGCCAACTGTCCCTGGGACTGCCAGGGTTAGGTCTCGCATGTCCTCCAACAGATGGATTTTGGACGAAAAATAGAATATGCCGAAAATGCAACAAAATAGTCAAAAGTAATACAAAAATCGCCCCCTGACCATTTTTGACGATTTTTGAATATTCCTCCTGTAGAAGGACATGCCCGACTTAATGCCATTCATCCCTGACACCGATCCTGGGTCCAGGTTCGGTCCAGCCAGATCGTTGAGATCGGTTCCCAGACATGCGGCGTCCTTATCTTTTCAATACGGGGTCCGTGGAAGTCCGAAGTCCCGACCCTTTCCTCAGGACCGGTTTTTTATCCTGAGTCATTTTTTGACGGTCCCGAGGCCCGGCGAGGGCCCCCAGAAGCCGAAATCGGCCAAGAACTGCCCGTCCTGATTTTTTCGCGACGCGATCATGTCTGGGTTGACGTCATCCCGAAGACCGCGTCGGCATCTGAACATTTGCAGGCCCCCTCGCATTGAGACCCCTGAGCCCCTGGTTCCCCTCTGGGGGGGGGGCGTCGGTTCTGGCTGCATCGCCACGAAGTCGGACACGGATCGGATCGGCCGCGCCAGGGTATCGGAGCGGATCGAGCTGGCCAGGAGAGATCTCGAGTCGGACCGATTGGATCGAAGTGGGCCCTGCAGTCCTGGACCGTGGTACATCAGCCCCAGCCACGCGGCGTTGCAGAGGGCGAAGAGCACGTAAAAGAGCGGGCCCAGTCCGCCCGCGCACTGGGCTCGCCCTGGCGCCTTGCTTACCGCTCGAGGGCTGCGCCCGCACCTCTCGCGCTCGTCCCAGCACTGGCAGGCCGAGGGGTCGTTGGCAGCCCAGGGAGGAAAACGCAATTCGCCGTCTGGCCTCCCAGGGCCCTCACGGGGGCCCCCCCAAAAAAACAGCATAAACTGCAAGGGATGGGACTCTGGGCCCAGAGAGTTGGCCAGGACTTCTGGGGACCCCGCGCTGGCAAGAAAGTCAAAGCCTCAGATCTCAGGGCGGGGGAGCTCCGCCAGGACATGTCCGTGCGTCCACGGTCTCGAAAGCGCTGCCCCCAGTCCCCGAAGAACGTGGCTGCCTCCCCCGTCCTGGCGGATCCAGCGGATATCTGCACAAACCCTGGCCGCGTGGCCTCCTTGCGTGGTCAGGGAGTCATGTACACCGATCCTGGGCCCAGATTGGGCATGGCCAGGGGCAATGGATATGTGACGGGTTCAAAAGAACCCTGAACCCAAAAATACGGCCCATCTTCTGGGGGGGCATTTTCTACGTCCGCCAGTTTCCGCCGGCCTTCCGCCAGCGGAGCCGCCCAGGCTTAACGTCTGCCGGCTTCCGCCGCCCTTCCCACACCTTCTGCCGGGGAAGCGGTGCCGAGGCCTTCGATCCTCGAAGGCAAAAGGGGCGCCGACCACAAGCACGACGTCGGATCTTCAGGCTCCTCGACTCGACCGCGGCTCCACACAGCGGATCCCCAGAGAGCGCCTTTCGGAGGCCGCGACCCTCGCCGAGAGGCACGGCAGAACCGTGGCGCGACAGCAGCGGTGCCAATCCTGGCACCGCGGGGATCGAAGAGCCTCTCTGGGGCGGACGCAAGGTCGGGTGCTGCTCGGGGGTCGGCAGCTGACCAAAGCCACTCCCGGCCGCGGCGAAGAGGATGCCGGGGAGCGTGCTGTCCCCGGAGCACGGCAGACCCTCGACGCCAGTCCTTCGCCTCGGGCAGCATGCCGGCAGCGGACGGTCGGGTGCTGCAGGAAGCGGTACTGGCCCGAGGTGCTCCCAGCCTGTCGCGCCGTTCTGTACCTCTGAGGCCCTCTGGGCCTCGCGAGCGGTGGTGCCCTGGCGGCGCCGTCTGCGCCTCCCTGGCGCGGAGCGCCCCATGGGCGCCGCTGGAGGCTGCGCAGGGGTGTTGAGACCGCCCTGGGCTACTCGGGGGACCTGTTGAAGCCAGCCCAGACAGCCTGCTGTTAAGATCAGCCCGGACAACCTGCTATTGAGGCGAACCCGAACAACCTGGGGGCCTGTCTGCGCGCAACCCGAAGCCTCCCCTGCTAGTATCGGCGATCCATGGGCGATTGGGGGTCGATGCATTCCCCCCTGAGCCTAAGCCCCCCCCAACGGTGCCCCTGAAACCCCACATGCCGTCGTAAGCGTAATGTCGACCAGATTCCGTCCAGATTTCGACCACCCCTCTGCAACTTTGTCGTCCAGAGTTCGTCCGGATTTCGACTACTTCCGACGACATTCAGACGAAATTCCCCAAACCGCACACAATTTTGAGACCATCTGAGGCTCCCATGAAGGACCACGCAGCAGGACGGGGAGGAGGGTGCGAGTGAATCTGCTTTGAAGGCTGCCTCTCTCCCAGTCCGGGGGTGGACCCCGGGACCGCTCGTCGATGCACCGTGCACGTGCGCGCGCGCGCCCGCTGCGCGGCCAGCGCGAGCGATTGGGTGGGGCCTGCGGGACGGAGCCAGCCCCACGGCATACCCGCACGCCGACTGCGTCCGGGGGCTGCATCAGCTCCTCGGACGCGTAGAAGCAGCTAAAGGACATCGCGGCCTCGGCACGAAGGGGAGGTGGGGGGAGGGTGCAGGCCTGGGCCGAGGCGAGGCAGCCTGGCGACGGCGGCACTGCGTCGTCGCCGCCGTCGAATCGGGCGTGGCTCTCTGAGCTCCATCAAGGCGACTGGTGTGCGCCAACCTCGCTGGCAGCTCCGAGTCGACCCCCGTCGGGGATAACCGCCTTCGCGATCAAGGTGCTCCGACCCCTGGCTGGCGTGGTGCCCCGACGCGCCGAAGTTGACCCCGGTCAGGGGGGTACCCGCCCCCGCCTATTGAGGAACGGCGAGCAGGGCAGTGCAAAACTAAACAGGGGCCGACTCCGTTCAGCACACGCGCGGAGGACTCCTCCACAGCAGAGTGGCGACAGGGCCGAAGGGTTGGTCAGTCCACCCTCACGCTGAGCCGTGCCACCGTCGTTTGGCACGTTGGCAACTCTCAGAGTCCCAATCAAGAAGGTCTGGCTGGAGTACCGTTGATGATTTGCTTTGCGCCAGCTGGCGGGGACCAGGGGACGGGTGGCCTCCTGGGGACTTCTGGGTTCGTGGGCCTTGTCGGGGGCATCCTGGCAGGATAGTCCAAACGAGCCCCTAGGTGGCCCAACAGGGCCTCAAAGGCCCCCAGCACAGCCCCAATGTGGCGGCGAGCCTGGGGGGAAGCGAGAGGGGGCAGGCATCCAAAGAAGGCGGCAGGGCTTCTCAGAAGCCGTCGCGCCTTCAGAGAAGCCATTTGTGTTTTCGGAGAAAGCTTAAAAAGCTTCTGAGAAGGCCCCAGGCCTTCTGAGCCTTCTCAGAAAGCCCGCCCCTCTGCATTCCCCCCTGGGTTCGCCGCCGACCAATCAACCCTCCAGACGGCTCCACAAACGCGGGCACCGACGGTTGCGCCGACGGCCAGGCCGACGGCCAAGAGGCCGAGGGCAGGACGCAGGCGGGACCCAGGAGCTGCCCAGAGTTGGCCATGCCCCAAGGCGACCCACGAGCGGCAATCGTAATTGTCCGTATCCGCGCCGTCGCTGCGGGCCCCAAGGATATACACCGCACCACATCCATCCCCCTTCCCCTCCTCCAGCCTCCTATTCCTCTCCTCTTTCTTGGGACGGGAAACGGGTGAGGCGGTGAGGGAGGCGGTGCTAGTGTATGCTCTTGGGCACCGTACTCGCGGTCTGGGTTCCAGGGCGCGATCCCACGGATACGCGGTCGCACGGATGCGTTCCGCGCGGAGCATCCGCGAATAAACGCCCCGTATCCGCGGGGTCGCGTCCCAGGGGCCTGGCCCGCAAGGCCGCGGATACGGATATTGTTTCGCCAACGAGCTCCACTAGGCGCCAGTGCCTGGGGCGTGCAGCCACCCACAGCTGGGGCTGCCGCGTCCAGCACGCCGACAAGCGTGGCGGGCGGGTGCGGATCGGATCGGACCGGAACTCCGCGAAAAGGCTCCACTGAGAGCGGCGAACGTATCCGTGTCCGCACCCTCGCGGTCTGGGCTCCGCCCGCGGATACGCGGTCGCACGGATACGTCCGGCGCGGGGCGCCCGCGATAAAAAACACCCCGTGTCCGCGGGGTCGCGGCCCTCGGGCCCTGCCTTCGAGGCCGCGGATGCGGAGAAGTGTTTCGCCCACGAGCGGCCCCAGCCTTCCCAGGAAGGCGCAGCTGGCTTCCGGGGCACCCCCCACGAGGCCCAGAGTGGCCCCAGCGGGGCCCCAAGACGGTACGAGAGGCCGCGAGCACACTGGAACGGGGCCGCTCCTAACAGCACGCGACCAGAGGGACCGTCGAGGAGGGAGCAGCGGGCCCAGGAGGGCGCGGGAGGGGGACCCCTTCCGTCACAGAGGGCCTCCGCCTCTCTCCAATAGCCCCTCCTGTCACACAGGGGCAACACTCTCACCGAAGTATGGTTCTTGGATTGGGCGGGGGGTCCGGAGCCTGCAGAGGACCCCCGGGCACCCGCGGGTGGCCCCTCAAGAGGTCCCAGAGGTGGGCCCCCGAGGCGCCCACAAGGGCCCGCACCCCTCTGAGGCCCATCGATCGACGACGGCGGCAGCGGCGACAACGGAGATGACGGCGGCGGCGGCAACAGAGACGACTACGAAGACGACGGCGGCGGCGCGACGACGTCCACGGCAGCAACGACGACCAGATTGCGAGCACGCGGTTTTACGAGCTGCGTTGACCTTCGTTTGCTCTTCGTCCCTTGCACCCGCCATACACGTCCACGGTCCAATCCCATGGGGAGAATTCTTTTCATACCAACTCCCAGGAGAAGCAATCAGCATAGAGCGCATCTCCCCAGAGTGAGAAAAGATGGCGCGTATTGCGAAGCAGTTTCAAACGGGGGCCGTTGTCGTCGCAGTGGGGCCTTCACTGACTTAACAGCATTGCGGGCAAGTCTCGAGCGAGAACGCCGAGGGCGCACGTGGCACAGGCGCGAGGGAGTAAATTGAGGATAACATCGAGCGGCAGCCGTTGTCGTCGCAGCTGCGCCTTCAGCAATCCAAACGGATTACGAGGAGGTCTCGGGCGAAAGCGCCATTCCAGAAAGCGGGGGCGTCTCTGGCCAAGGCGCCTCGGAATAACGTGCGAGGGAACATCGAACGGGAGCCCTTGTCGCCGTAGCTGGGACTTGAACAAATTGTGAGGAAATATTGAGCGAGAGCGCCGTTCCTTAGTTTTGGTGCCAGGCATCTCGACATAACTTGTGAGAACGCCTCGAGCGGTGGCCGTTGTCATCGTAGTTGGAGCTTCCACATATGGGATTGGAACAGGCCCAGATTCGAGCGGGAGCGTCGCTTTGCGAGAAAATGTGGCCGCAACCCTTCCCAGCGGCCACCTTTGGCCCTCGAACATGTCCTACCCAAGGCGAACCGAGCCATGTCGCAATCGAGTCGTAGGAAAGCTCTTTCGCTTTGATCCCTTTCCTGCCGGGGAAGGGGATGGCAGCTGAGGGGGGGTCCAGGGTCCAGGAGGGCTCCCGGTGTGAGCACCCTCTTTTTCGGCAACTCAAGTCAAAGACGCCCAAGATTGCCCCGAGACGGCCCAAGAGGCCTCCAAGACGGCCCAGGAGGGGCCCATCAGGACCCCCACGAGGGCCAACGAGACATGTATGATTTTCCATCGGTTTGGACTGATTCTAGCGCTCTCGCACGTTCGGCTTTCCAACTCTCCAGGACGGCCCAGGAGGCTCTGAAGATCACCCAAGGCGGCTCAAGGGGCCCAAGAGAGGGCCCAAAGACTGCCCAAGAGAACCCAAGAGGCCCTCAAGACGGCCCAAAAGGGCCCCAAGAGGAGGAGCACATGGGAGCACAAACTGACATTCCGAGCCCCCCACCCCAAAATGATACCCGAGACTGGCAGCAGACCTCCACCAAGAGGCCCCCGAGCGCCTCCCAAGAGACCTCCGAGAGGCACCCCAACAGATCCTTCTATCCGTTCAAATGCGTCTGGCCCACCACCCAAGCACGGTAGCGGGACGGGCCGAAGGCCTCCAGGTCCGCCGCCCCCTCTTGAGTTATCAAAGGGATGCCTGGCGTGCTGGATCCTCTCGGTTTTGGTCTTGGTTCTTTTTCCAAGAGAACTCCCCCTGGGGCTTCGGCCCGTCCGGCTGGCCACCCGGAAACTGCACAGGTCAATGCCTGAAACGGCCGTTTCGCTCGGGACGTCCTCAAAAAATCGCGAAGATGGCCCAAGATGGCCTGCAAGATGCCTCCAAGACAGCCAAGATGGCCTCCAAGACGGCCAAGATGGCTCCAAGATGCATCCAAGACGACCCAAGATGGCCTCAATATGGTCTAAGACGGGACGGCCCAAGAGGCCTCCAAGAGGTCCTCCAGGAAGGCCCGACGTGGCCAAAATCCCTGATTCTCTTTAAGTTTTGAAAGGATTTTGACATTTGCGCCTTTTCGGCTTTCCGACTGCCCCAGAGGCCCCCAAGGTCGCCCCAAGATCGCCCAAGAGGCCTCCAAGATGGCCCCATGACGGCCCAAGAGGCCCCCAAGACGGCCCAAAGAGGACGCCGAGACGGCCCAAGAGGCCTCGAAGACGCCCAAGATGGCTTCTAAGACGGCCCTGGAGCACCCCAAGAGGGCCCCAAGTCGGCCCAGAAAGGCCCCCGAAACGGCTTCCGACGGCGTCAGACGGGCCAGGAGCCCACCAAGATGGCCGAAGGTGGCTCGCAGCTTGCCAAAGACGGCCCAAGAGGCCTCCAAGAGGGTCTCCAGGAAGGCCAGGAAAGGCCAAAAAGAGTGATGATCCGAAGGTTTTTGAAGGATTTTAACATTTGTTTCGTTTCGGCCTTCCGACGGCCCGATACGGCCCAAGAGCTCCCAAAGATCGCCGAAGGATCGCCCAAGAGGCCTCCAAGATGGCCCCAGAACGGCCCAAGAGGCGCCCGAGACGGCCCCAAGAGGCCCCCAAGACGGCCCAAGAGGCCTCCAAGACGCTCAAGAAAGCCTCCAAGACGGCCCACGAGCCCTCCAAGACGTCCTCCAAGAAGGCCCGAAAAGGTCAAAATGGCCTCCAGGCGGCCAAGATGACCTTCTAGATGCCCGCGTGTTCCCCGAAGACTTTCCAAACAGATTCGGGGAACCCATGGTCCGATAGCTTGGCAGGTCTGGCCTCAACGTTCGGCCACATAGGCGCTTCCACGAAGGCAGGGGGCGGCGGTAATTCGCCGTAGGCGTCTTCGATCCACCGCCCCCTGTTGGCTTGCCACAGGGGTGCTCGGCGTGGCAAACCCTGCCGTTGTTGGTTAGATATATATATATATATGTGTATATGCATATATATATATATATATATATATATATGTGTGTGTATATATACACACATGTATATATATATACATATATATATGTATACGTATATGTATATATACACACACATATATATATGTATATATATAAATACATATACATATATATAGGTATGTATATGTATGTATGTATACATACATATAAACACTATAAAAAAAAACAACAACAACAACAACAACAACAACAACAACAA